TAAAAAAAATTCTCAGTAGTAGCACGGAGTTTGGAATTGTGCCCGGTATATGGCAATAGGCTCACCCCCTATTACATGGGTCTCATAACATAAATAGTGAAAAGTGGGTGTTACATTATACAGTGGCATAATGTGCACCTCTGTCTCCCCCTTTGAGGATAAAAAGCGTGATGTTACGCTATATTCGTAGATAAAAAATTTAATAATACTTACTTAAATTTAATAATACCGAACCGGTAGCAATTGGAGCTAATCTTTAGAGGTAATTTACAAAACTTGATAAAAACATAGCAGTTAAGGATTAAACGGCGTAAACGTATTATCGCCTCAATGAAGTCTGCGGTTTTCCTTTTACAACGTAAAACTTAACATCAATAACTTATTATTTACAATCGCAAGTTTACTTTGTAGGAACAAATGGATAAAATATATTTTCCTTAACATTTTGCTTTACAACATTACTTAATATAACATAACATCACACCTTTTATTCCCGAAGGGTTAGGCAGAGGTGCACATTACGACACTAAATGCCACTATACAATGTAATACCCACTTTTATGTTTATGTTATGAGTCCCATATAATAGGGGGTGAGCTTATTGCCATATACCGGGCACATCTCCAGACTTCATGCTACTACTGAGATCTTTAAAAACCCAGTAATACTTTGTCCTACCCAGGAATCGAACCCGAGACCCCTTGCCCAGCAGTCGCACTTGCGACCACTCGGCCGACAAGGCAGTCTTAATATATTAATATACTACATACAGTAAATACTATTTATTCATCATCCACAACCTCTACATAGAAAGGTTTACTTTTCATGCTAGGCAAGTGTTGTAGATTGCATTCTAAAAGGTTCAAGTTTATCAGTGAGAGACTACTACTCAGACTGTCAAATGTATTGTCAAAAATAGAAAAGAGTCGGGAAGAGTAGTGACAAGGACAAAATAACGCCCCCGTCTCTCATGACCTCACTAATTTGTTCAGATTAAAGGAAATGAGACGTTATTGTAAGAGTATAATCATAGTATAAAGAACAAAGTAGGTTATCTTCATACAAATGCTCCGCGCGCGGCTTATATGTGTGCGCCATAGTATCTATGCGTCGACGCACGCACACTTTAACAAAATCTCGACCCGTTTCTCAGTGCGCCAGGCAGGGCTGATACTGTACGAGGTTCGCGCGCGCTTCACGGCTTTTCGGCACTGTTCAATGAAATAAAAAATGTCTGATAATCGTAGAAGAACGTATTGCTGTGTGTTTGGGTGTCTTAATAATTAATCGATTCCAGAACTGTCTCTGTTCAGATTAGGTACCTATTGAACAGGAAAGGTAAGCTAGTCACTTTTTCTAGCATAATATAATTTGTAGGTACTTGATGATGAGATACCTACTTACTTATTCTTACTCTTATCATTCTTGATAGTTCCTACTCAACCAGAAATGTAATTACCTACTATACTTAAATATTATAAGAAAATTTGGTATTGTATTGTTTATTTCACAGTTTATCTGATTTGTTAAGAGCGTAGCCGAGTCGCATTTTTCCATATAAATGTATTCCAAAATTTACTTTCTGAATACTATGTATAGAGCTAAAGTTTATTTTAAGAAGTTAATAATCTTTTTATAAGCTTTTAATTTTTACTAAATTTATAAATTGATAAAATATTCAATCATAATATGCTTTTCATTTCATAAATTTAGATCAAGTGCTGCTTGTTCGAAAATATTAACTAAAAGTAAAAGTGACAACCCTGGGGATCAACGCAAGAGTAGGCTAATAACTCGGCGGGCGGCCTTAGATAACCTACTGTGTTCTTTATACTATGGTATAATCAATAGTTAGTTGTCTCTATTCAATTATTTATAGTGCAAAGATTACCGCAATCTTTCAATCTAATGCATTGCGTTTATCCCATGAGTGCACTCACTGATGATTGCACCAACTATAACATTAATGTTCAAATACTCAAACGCTGGTCAATATTAGATTGCGCTTAAGTATAGTTCTGTCTACAAATTCTTTGTCAAATGACAGAGATTTTTTTTAAGGGAGGAAAATCATCGAAAATCTGATCCCGCCTGGGTGAGGCGGGAGGAAGTGTCAGACTCTTACTGACTAAAAACCACCCCGTTCCTTCTCCTGCACGTCGAGCCGGAGCCCCGGTAACCCGTTAGGTTCTCCGCGCCCGATATTTAAGTACGACTTAAAAATTGACTATTTTGAGTCCATGTATCATCCATACAAAGGCACATCTTAGTTACAACTTGAATTCAAACAATAAAACCTTTTATCTTAATAATGGTATTTGGATTCAATTCAAAATAAATATCTTCGTAAATAAATAATAGAAAAGCTCTCAACAGCATTTGATCTGAGCTTTAATATTCCAAATGTAATGAAGTTTAATATTATTTTATTTTTTAAGTAAAGTGAAACATAAAAACAGGTTTGCAATCGAATTATTCCATCTTGATTCTGTGATGAAAGCAACAGTGCTTTCAGGATCATTACATAATTTGAGTCTCACTCTGACTCTCTCTTCGTTGACTGAAAATAAAATTAGACTAATTCAATAAATAATATTTTAAATTTAGAATCATTTAACCTTTAGATAGAGTTACTATCTAATATTTGCATAGTGTTAGTCCATATCAATCACTTGTGCTTTTCACCTTATATATTTTTTGAACTTTAAAAGAAACATGTATGTTCTTTACTTAGTACTTTCTTTATAATTCCCTTGATCCAATAGTACAATAGATCAGCAGACGACATATCCAATTCCTTTCCACATATTGTCGGTCTTTTAACGTTCCCACTGCTGGGATTTACGCCTCGTTACTTTACGTCTAACGTAACCCAGTATAAAAGAAGCACACATATTATTAATACTGAATTCTTACTTGGTTATTCATTGTTCTGCCGGTCCCAGACGGATACGGGACATTGTGGAAACCAGCAGGGAAATGTAAATTCATTGTATCCTAAATTATTGTCAGCTCCGTTCATTCACTGCTTGTTAGTAATGTTTGAACAATCTCTTATGTAAAGTACCCCGCTAGAGATCTTGTGCGTAACTTCAACGATGGATCGCATAAAATGTATGAAGCGGGCAACAAATTGTGAGAAGAACCATCCTTTTGGGACGAAACTTCATAAAGCGGTCGCGAAACGTACCCAAGTTTATCTCGCGACAATCCGCGGGGGTCCGACCCGGGCAAATTGTATTACTACAAGGATGGTGGTGGCGAAATTGCTTTCAACCGAAAGAAATAAGATAAGATCATTGATGTACCTAATAAGGGAGACAAAGCCACTCAATGGCCTCTATGCGAACGATATAATCTAATATTATTTGCGCTGGACGATAAAACCAAAAATTAACCCTTGCAAAAAGATGATACATTTTGCGGTTTTATTCAGCAATGGAATAGAAACGAAATCTCGGATTTAATGTTAAATGTAATGCCATATTTTATTTATGTGGAGTGTATTTTATTTACGATGCGGCCGATGGACTAAGCCCGGTTTGACCGTTGTGTGTCAAGTGTCATATAAATGTTAAGCATGAGTAATCCGTAAGATTAACATTATGAAGTCAATAGCGCAATGGAATACAATGTAAAATATTTTTAATATTAGTTGATCCCCGCAAAATAATAATCAGTTTTTGAAGAAACATATTTTTTATAAGTTTTGATGGAATTTGGTACATTGTAGTTGTAATTGGTACATTGTACGAGTAGGTAGACGCCAACAATAGATTAATTGATCCAGATTGCACATCTTTCAAACATTTCGCACTTTGGACACTGAGCAACAAATATTCCATTATCTGGCGGAACTAATTGAATTCATTTGCCAAAACGTGTTCTTCAACGAACAGTTTGATGGTCGTGGAATGACATCTCTATCGAATTCAATCTGGATAACTCTATTAATATAAGGTTTATGAATCAGATAGACGTTTAACTATACCAGCATCAGATATTTCACATTATATCGTCAAAGATTAATTTTCTTTCGTGACTTTGACTAGTTTTACGTCTTTCATTAATATTCTATCCTACCATTCAATAACAGCGTACCTAAGTGTATTTAATAGGAGCTATTCAATATTTCAAAACGTATGTCTTGGTACAAAATAGATTTTCTCAGAACACCGGTAATAACATGACGTGAAGCCAATTGATTCGAACTGATTCATAATTAACATTCCCTAGAAAAGTCAATACGAACCAAAATATAAATGAATAGTGTGTTAGGATTGACACATACAGGAACGAATCTTTTATTTACACTAACAATGTTATGAAAGATTAATTACTCGAAACACGAAACTTCGTCTTTTCAATAGAAACTCATTTCGTACTTAACGCCAGAATGAACGACCTTTGCCCTTTCCCATACTGAATGTGAAACGGAACCATTTATAATTTGATAGGCACCCAGTTTTCAAAGTCAAAAGCCATAAGCTTTTTCGACCACACATTGTAAATTCAGCGCACAATCTGTAGCTCGTCCTATAGAAATACATATTACAATAACTCATAAAGCCGAATAGAACGTGATCCGACGTTCTAAAGATAGTTGAAAGCAAAAGTTTTGATTAGTTGCTGAATGTTAGATCAACTCGCAGCACACAGAATGGACGCTCAGCTGGAAAATGTTCGAGCGCCCCATCAGCCAAGCTCACGCCAGGTGCACGAATTATACTGAACAATTCATTCAGCAGAAATTGCTTCTGAATAGAATATTGTTTATGAAAACGTTATTGATCGCATTGAATATGGTAATGATCGTGTATATTAGGCATTCAAATATTCGGCACGTTGTGCTTCATTCATCACATTCATAGATCAAAGAAATTGGCAAAGACTTGACGGGTCTTCGTCGGTTGATAAAAACTCGTGATGCCAAGAAGCCGGCAATGAGCAATCGATAACCTTTAGATTGAATCGTGAATGATTGATTACTAACGACTAACCTGTTTCCACTCCACTTTGTCTATAACTTCAGCGCCCGTCGCCGAACCCTCGGTCACTGGTGGGCGGAGCAGAGACACGTACTGAAAACAAGTTTACTCCTTTGTATACACACTTACAAAGTTAGAGAAAAACCTTTGAATAATGTCGACATCTTCACAATTGCGCTCTAAGTGATGCTTTCGATACAAATATCTACTCCGTTTAAATTATGAAATAGAATTTGTTTTACTTGCGAACCAAAATAACTTGTGAAGTACATCACTAACAAAGACTGTATTAAAAGCCATTCAATTAACTTAAGACCACTTAAAATAAAGGTTTTCTTTTTTAGTCTGTAGCATACCTTATCACGTTCCAGGCTTCGTATCATGTCGAGATCTGTAGTGTCTGATATGCCGCCGTGGACCACGAATACTCTGTTATTGATGATAGTGCCCAGGGGAAGCCAGCGGTACACGCCTTCAATCAGTTTCAGTAACCGCTCCGAGTTGTGCTGGTGACAGAAAATCCAATTATACACACGTATTCCTTATATGTTCCTATAGAGTCTCCGACTTAACAAAGGCAGAAACTAGAAAATGTCACGTTTTGCATACAATATACCTCGTGCGATAACTAGAATTCAATTCTCAGAGTTACAATTTGCATTTTCTCCTATAAAACTACACGTTAAAGTCCAGGTTTATACAAAAAAATGTGCAAAACATAGCGCCGACGCTGCTTCTCCAGCTTGTTAGACTTTTTCGCATTTTCTAAAGTTTTCATCGCTTTTCCAGCGCTTGTAGTCACGACAGGTTTAAATATTTAAACATGCCTTAGCGTGCAAAAATGCATCCTACATTTTGTTCATGATTCTAATATCTCATCTAAACATTTTTCAAAGGGCGAATGTCTTTGAAGATTTTTTTAAATAACTTCCATTAAAATTGTGTGAATGTTTTCGACATTTAAGTAGATTGGTTTCAAGATTGAAGTTTATTACTAAAAGAAAAAGATACGTCTTATTAAATAATTATGACACAGTAGTTGATAATATTACCGTGGTAGTAGCTACCGCCGCCAAGGAAATGAGGTAATAACTGCACACAAAGCTGAGCTCAGTCGCTAGAGTAACTACAATTACTTTGTATTTGGATAAAAGGCGGTGATAACTAAGTAAGTAAGTACACTACAAAGGGAATAAATCTTCTTAAACCTGAGTTCTAAGACCAACGTGTGCAGGACACTCTTTGTACTGCGGATATTGTAAAAATCTTATTCCGTTGGAAGAGACACAAGGTTGCAAAAAGAACTCACAATTTTGTTACAATTTTCTTCACGGTGTTTATTTGTAGTAAATATTGTTTATTTCACTTTGAAGGACTATGCAGTTTTGCTTTATAACTCCTATTTCTTATACAACCGGAAAATCGTTGAGAATGAGGGGTTATTTCATATTTTTGTATGGTAAACATGAACATAAAACGTATCTCGGATAAGTTGGGTAGATTTGAGAGATTTTTGTCTCTTTTGTTATCGGTTTAGAGCTCTGTAGCAACCATTTCGTAAGGATGAAATATACTGATCTGGATTCTCGATGTTCCAAATTAGTTTTCAGTTCGGCTCACCTTTTATCGGATTTACGATCGACGATTTGTATTCAATAGCCGTGTATAATAAAATGAAGCTCATATTTTTACCGGGGCTCGGTTTTTGAGGAACAAGATACATGTGTGCGTAGAGATTATTGCTTGCTTTACTTACCCGATACTTCTGCTGAACTTCTTTTATGAAACCGTACCTGAAAGAGAAAATTCTTTAAGAAGGATTTTCCTTTATCACGTTGGATGTAAAGTATACAGAAAAGGCAAACAATGCATCTTCGAATCTCAAAAAAATATATAAGAGGTACTCACTATACCGCACATAGTGATAAATAATGTCATAACACAAAGTCAGTACTGTTTGTTTAAAAAAGTATAATTGTAATATTATCAACAGAATCATGCTCTTAACGTTATTCAAAAATAAAGAGGGCATCAAATAAAAGCTTGTTTCGAATAAACATTCCTGTAAAACGCCTCTTCATTGTAATTCAACGTTAGGAAGTCTCATTGAAACATTTTTAACGAGATCAAAATGAGAAGTTTGCAATTTTGCCATTGCAAAAGAGCCGGTACATTAAAGTTGGCACATTGTTTAACAAATTGACGCACATTGTGAAGTGTTACAATTATTTAGTAAATCCCTGCCATTAAAACTTTTAACGTACGAGGACTCTGTGAAATAATTAAATTGTAATTAATTATTTTGGATTGTTTTAGATTATGGAATTTCTGGATTCGATTGAATTCTTAACATTCATTGGTAAAGTGTCTACAGTACATTCGCGTTAAGAATGCAGTAATTCTTCATTGTCTGTCGGCCTAGCCCGGCCCCCTAAACTGGTTTTAAACTTTTAAGTGTATGTTTATGAATTCATTAACCTTAATCTTTCAAAATATAATGTGTTTAATTTCACACCACTTTGAATACACTTTTATCTTACAGTTACCCTTATAACTCACTGCATTATTAACGCGAACAAACTATAGGTATATACACATTGACAAATTTATATGCAATACTTCCTGAAAAGCACATTCAATAATAAAATATTCAAACCAAGTGTGTGACTAACCTAGAATTCATAATGAGATCTTCATGGTTGCCGCGATTCAAGAACACTCCTCCGGGGAAGGCCAACATGCAAGACAATAGCAAGAGGAACACCTCCAACCCCTTCTTGCCGCGATCCACGAAGTCCCCGTTGAATATGTATGGGTTTTCTGGAGACGGCAGCCCATTCTGTGCAAGCAAGTTAAGGGTTACTTCCATTTGCAGGAGAATTTTGAAGGCGCCGTGCCGGCGTCAGCGGTAAACATCAGCCATGTTGCTGACACACGAGTGTACACATTGACCGAGTCATCGACTCCGCCTAATCCATGTCATCCTACAAACTTAAGCTATCTCTACATTTTACATCTACTAGCATATTGTGCACAGAAGAAGACATTTCTCAAACGTGTAAATCAACTTCCAAATGCTCTAGAATTTTTAATAAAACTGTTACGAATAAGAAATGGCCTGGCTTTGTCTCTCGATTTAATAAAACAAAAACAACAAAAAGCAGCTATTTATATTCAGTGAGCTTCAGACGAGAAATACTCAGATTTCAATTATATATGAGGACTGTAATTACAATGAATGCATTCAAAAAGGACCATTAGTCACCTGGGGCTGGAGGCAGCCACAAAACCTTTAGCACATAAAGCTTGCACACAAAGGGCCGCGCCAAATGATCGTCAAGATACATTTTTAATACTCAGCGTTTTTTCATCTAACGAGTAACGATCCAAATAAATAGCAAACGTTTTCAAAAAAAAATTAAGTAAAAAATTGAACCATTTGAAATCTCATACATGGAGTAGGGTCTGGCATATTTTTACTGTTGCTATGTAATTTATGATACTTAGGTATGCCTTCATAGGAACACTCTTGAAAATTCGGTAGTTATTAACCCAAAGCCTCAGACCGAGCTAGGTTACTGAGCCCGAGCCTTAATAAAGTTTACCCAATAAAGTAATAATGTTAACCTGATCACAAAACCAGAGCAGTGAGCTAGAACATATTTTGTGAATCCTTACATCTGCAGCAGTGGCCGCTACGAAGGTCGCTTACGCAATGTGTCGGTTGGTAATCGATACGCAACCACTTACATAATCGTTATCCTTTAGCCAATTTATATCTATTTTACTTTTCTACGGCCAGACCGCACGCATCTGATTTCATTCAGCCTAATTGGTGATTATCGTGACTTTGGAACACCTACGCAAAATGTCACCTCTGACACAAATCATAACTCACTTGTCGGCTGTATTTTTATGACGCGATTAACCAGGATTATGACAAACCGGATTGTTGTGATACGACCCTCGTGTTTTTACAAACCGCCTGTTTGTATAAACTCAATTTGAACAACCCTTTTCCATTCCCGCTGGACCCGAATGTATGTGGAACGGATTGTATACCAGTAGATATGTCCATTTCAAATGATATATGGGTTTGAAATACTTTTTTCTGATTTTAGACTGGACAATAAAATGGTTAGATCGGATTTATCAGAAATGAGTGTATTAGGAACACAACCAGTTGGAATTCATAAAACGTTATAGTATCTCTCAATAAAAATATCATGGAAGATAGTAAACATTGATCGTCACTAACCGTTTCTTAATAGTGGTAAAGTGGACTATTGGGTTTATGTTTACAAGACGAAAATAACAGTAGGAAAACAATATCTGCAAATTAACGAGGTCGTCCGGCGTAACAGGCGGTCTATCAATCAAACCACGTAGCGAGCAGCGGCAACTCGGCCACGGCGCGGCGGCACGCCGGCACCAATTAGATGACGCGTGCGCCGCTCCCTGCGATGTTTGCCGAGCCAGGCCGCCGGCCGACCTGTCGCCCTCCTGACGTCACATCTCTAATGAGCATCCGTGAAAAAGAACTTGAAGGAAACCCTACTAATATCCGACGTGACGTAGCAACCACCGCCTGTACATTTTTCCACGACGCAACGTCGGCAAAAATTACATTGTTGCCGTTCGAGTTTTTCTTTTTATGCTATTTTCGGCTACATTTCTAAAAGGGTTTCCCTAACTTGTAACTTTTTATGTCGTAAACTATGAACATAAAATACACTTTGTTGCTGACCCCGGATTGAAAGCAAAAACGCCGTTCCTGTGCCAGCTGGTTCAGTTCCCGCGTAAGTTGAGAAATAAGTAAAACGATAGGTACTGTAGACTGTTCGTCAGTAATGTAATTCAGCTAAAATAGTTAAATTTAGTTTACCGCAACCGTAAGGATGTCTATGTGAAATATTAGATTAAAAGCGCATCCATGCTCTAAACGCAACGTTTTACTATTAATTGACTTTGCGTTCGCATCGTTCAAGCATTCGATTAGAATCATTACTTTAAGTGGAGTTCGCAATAACGGACAATGTTCTACTTTATATTGTGTTATGGTTATTGACTTAACTCGTTGGCTATTTAAAATCTTTAGAACACAATTAAGCATATCAGTGTAGGAGTTCTTGGATGATGGATGGATAATGTGTTATAGGATCACACACTCCAAAATCTATACTTATAATAAATCTGTAGAGAGGTCAATTCTGTACATACAATATATTTAAAAAATAACTATCAAGGGGTGGTTAGGGATCGCTACTGATGCCAAAAATGCAATCAGTAAAATTTTTGTCTGTCTGTCTGTATGTTCGTTATGGAAACAAAAACTACTCGATGGATTTTAACGAAATTTGGCACAATTATTCTTCATACTCTTGGGCAGGTTATAGTATACTTTTCATTACGCTACGATCAAAAGGAGCAGAGCAGTGAAGGGAAATATTGGGAAAACGGGAGAAGTTACTCCATTTTTTAAGCTTCCGTCGCGTGTGCAGGCTTATAGGTTAAAGCTGCATAGAAATCATATATGACGGAAATATTCTCCTTAAAATTATATAAAAAATATTCCTCGACAGCATATGTCTATCTTTTATGGTTGACTCACAATAATACGTGAAACTCCCGATAGCTTAGCAATTCGGTGATTTCTGATTGTATTTGTCTACTCTAACGTTTACAATACTCATTCATAGACATTACGCTGTAACTGAAAGGCCAATGGTTGAAATTAGCTTGACTCGATATTATAAATGAAAATATGTGAGTTTATGTGTATGTTTATTACTCAGTCATATTAAAACCACTGAAGGGACCGGAATGAAATTCGGAACAGAGGTAGATTATGGTCTGAAGTAATACATAGGCATTTTACCCCTGAGATCGCGGGCGAAGCCGCTGGCAGAAGCTAGTTGAGAAATAAATCAGTCGAATCTGACAAACCTGGAGAAACTTACTGGAAGCGATTAAGCATCTAAAATTATGACTTCATAATAATTGCAAAGTACAAATAATTGCAAACTCAAAATCTACAGCTTTTATAGGTTTGTAGCCATAGACTCTAAAAGCCATAAACTCAGTTGCCCTAAATGCTTTCACTCGAATAAGTGAAATTCTCGGTTAGCAAATATTCGAAAGGACAGCTCCACTAAATATTGTCAATAGCAAAATATTGGGTTTCCATTGCTTTCTGTTGACTATCAACACAAACCATACATTTCCTTTTGATAGTTTAGGTGGAAGTCATTTATGGGGAGTCAATATTTATGGCCAATGAACTTTTTCCGATCAGTGAACCTAGTATTGTGGTTAATAACGGGGTATTTTTCAGACATTAGGCAAAATGTAGTAAAACATGTAGTACACAATAATAAAAGTATGTTTTGTACACAAAATTACGGGTTAAAGTTAACGACAACAATTGTGGCGTGCGCTGGAAGTTTTGATCGCTCGAAGTCAAGTTGTTAAGGTAGAAGATTCCGAGACATGCGTAAAGTAATTACACAAAAATGTTGCGTAGTTACGTTGGTTACCATTTTGGCAAGTGACATTATTTTAGTGATGGTTGAAAAATATCCGTTTTTCATACACTTTTCTTTGATCTTTTGGATTTATCGTGGTATTTGTAAACACGTTCAAACTCCAAAGATATCATTATCAACTAGCTTCTGCCAGCGGCTTCGCCCGCGTTTCCGAGTGTAAAAAGTAGCCTATTTTAATACATGCATGAAGTAATCTTCAGACTACAATCTACCTTTGTTCCAAATTTCATCCCGATCCCTTCAGCCTGCGGGTAACTTAACATTCGACAAACTTATATTTACGTTTGATACAGTAATGTGTCGTGCGCAGGATATTAAAGTATAATCATACCAATTTTCATCGTAATCGGACTAGTAGTTTGTGCGTGATGCGTGAATATGTTCAAAAAACAGACAAAAATTGTTTAAACGAATTTTTGGTTTCGGTATTTATCTAGTAACACCCCTCACTATTAAATTTTTTACTATTCTCAATATACAAAATGAACTCTTCTACAGATTTATTATTATGTATAGAATAGATTATGGTTGATGTGCATACAACAATTGCTTCCAATATTAAAAAATCTAAAAGAAAAGTAGAATCGTTCTAGAATTGGACATTTCAATACAATTTATCCATTATACAATAATTTTGAGTTGCAGTCTATTAGCTACGCCAGTCCGTTACATTTTCAATTCATTACAAATCGAATGAATAATAAAACATATAGGCTATCGTACCTTATGGAATATAACCAGCAGGTCGTCGAGTTTTCCATGCAAGTCCCCGCAGACAGTGATCTGGCTGGAGATAGAAGTGGTCGCCACGTTGATATTGGGCATTCTCTTCAACACTTGAGTGGCCTCTTTTAATATCTGCCCGACGTGTTTCGGATGAAGTCGGTGCTACACATAAATTGGGTTTTAGATTAGCCATGAAGCACTATAAAAACAATAAACAAAATATCTTAGCGTTGTCTTTCGTAATAAAGTAATGGATCGATTGTTTATTGGCATATAATAGATTAAAGACCAGCTACCGATGTACACCTGTTCCATTTCCCACGGAAAGTAATCGCAACCCACACTGGTATAATCGTAATTAGTATAAGATGTATCAGCAATATTCCGAGTAAAAGAAATTTGTTGTGTGAAAGTAGGTATACGAAGTATGTTGACTGGCGTCTCACGGACGAAACAAAAATAAAAATATTCAGCAAATTGACATTTCCTTTCATATTTTTCAACTCAGAAATACTTGAGTGAACTTCTCTATACCTAATATATAATTTTCCAGAGTTCAGCATCGCAAAGCCACAAATCTAATCAGTGTCAGCTTTAAGACCCTAATTTCGGAAATCTGGCCACAAATAATTAGAGAATCTGTGGGGTTCTTAAATCTATGGAATCTACCCATTCTAATTGCGGTTACATTCGGATTTTAGTTTACGAATGGGATCAGCCCAATCATTCCAATCAACCCATCTCTTCTTATGTCTGTCGTAAAAGGGTACCAAGGGATTACCCAGGACAGTCTCATTCTCTACTATGGCATCAAAGATCGTATCGATCTGATCCTACCCGACTGTTAAGTTTCATCCTACGTGCAGTCCTTGAACTGGCAGAAACGATGATCGTCCATCACTATGATAGATGAGATGTTAGCAAATACATAAAAATACTGTTTTTATTTTTCTTATACTTTTTTAAAAACAAAATGAATGGCGTAATCGACATTACCTTCTTCTTCCTAAATGCCTCAATCAGTAGGTCAATATCCTTTCTTTGCAGCGGGAATTCGATGTCGGGGCCACGTGAAGGCTTCGGGGGAGCTGTTTCATCAATGCCCCCACCCTCGTCGGACTCCTCCGAAAATACTTGCTCCACTACAAAAATTAAGACGAAAATTTTCGTAACCAATTAATTCAGGACTGTTTTTGCGAAAGAAACATCAATTTAAATTGTAAGATCTTATTTTCGTAAGGTGCTCTCAGAGTATGCTTACAAAGTTATTAAACATTGCTAACACGACTCCAATTTTGCAAGAACGTTGACGTACAGTGCACAATATACTAAAGGGAATGAGTTATTGTGAACAATGTATTACTTAGAGGACAGGGAGCATCACCCTAGATATTGGTTTCTTTCTTTGTACCATTAGAAAGCTAATATTCTACAGCGGTTGTAACTTTTGAAACTTAAATATAACGCTATTTAGGTAATATAAAAACGGTTTAATATAAAATCTTGTAACATAAGTACTGTTGAACACATGTACGTTTAGTTTTCAATTGAATATAGCTTAAACTTACTGTAGGTACGTATGTAGATATATGATATAGGTAGCAACTGAGCTCAAATAGCGAATACGACATAGAATTGTACACAATTCGTGAGCGAACTACATTCTTCGAGTCAGTTGGCAGCAACCACATACAGCTATTCAACTATTCTGAATTTCTAGTCGGCAAGCGAATTGCGTTTGCGAACAAACTTTGGGTACTTCACTTGTAGTAATAGGGAAAATATAACTCAAAAGCAGATCGTAAACACGCGCTGAAGACTTAATTACATCTATTACTTCCAGAACATTTCAATCGGTTTAAACCAATAAATTATTCACATCACAGAGATTTTGTGTCAAAGCGATCCGAGAATAGCCGAGACCTACATTTGTTTGTATCGGTGGCAGAGGTCAATGCAGTTAACTGATTTATGTAGCTAGAGACATATGTAAAGATACCGCACTGTTGCGTGTTCGAAGCCCGTTGAACAAGGAAAAATAGAAGGGGAACGCAAGGAATGAACGGAACGGAAAAGCGGACGCGATGTATGTAACGCTCAATGAAATTAACTCGCCGACAAACATGTATAAAACCAACCGCCAACCATGCGAAAAATATTCACTGAATGTTCTTTGAATAACGTACTTTCAGCTACTTCAGATTATTTCGAACTTGTTTCAAGATCTTTGAAAATTGCATTGACCTAAGAAAACAAGTTATCTTCAACGGGCTTTTGCAAACGTTTCGAGTGACAAATAATAAAAATAATGACCAACTTTGAACAGCACAACAGCGGATAGTTCGGAAGTTGGTCAGCAAAAAACTTTTAGACGTTTCAAAAAGTCGGAAAACTAGCACACACAGCACAGTCGCTCGCAGTTTGTATGTAAGTTTATCGTGTTACTATCTGTTAGCCTCGGAAACTCACGGATCAAGTGTCTTCATTAGGCCAATGTTGAAACCTCAGATGTTGATATTACAACTTCAAACAAACTTGTCTAATGCTATTTGCGTCGTTATAGCATTATAAATGTTTATTATACCCCTTAAGGCGTTTATGTACGCATCGTGATTACCGTAACGTACTTCGCCCCTCGATGCCGGGCCGGGACTCATCATTAAGATATAATCTACTGAACTCGAGTAAATGCCAAGGTGAAGTGACTTACAAACGGAAGCAGTCCTCGATGTTCTCTCGGAGGAGGGCCGACCGCTCGTATCCTTCATGTGACTTAGCAAGGCGTTGAAGAAATTGTACAGCTGGAACAAAACATGTCGTATCAATGCGCTACACCCACGACAAGTACACAATAGGGCCACGTTTAATTAATGGAAAACCTTGTAAGGGACGACCCCTGAATTAATAACGGCGAATAAAAAATGTTTTAACACAATTAAAGTCTGAAAAATGTGCGTTATGTTGGAAATCCCTTTGGAACGTGTGAGGGGATCGCAATCAAATGCCTAGTGTCTACATGTTTATGGCAACATGCAAACTTTTCAGTTTCGAATACACTCATTCCAAAAATGTTATTAATATAATGTAGTTATACCCATCATATCAAAATTCCACGTTTATAAGCCTATCCCCCAATCTTTTTTCCCAAAGTATACTGAAAACATAAAAGTGCGATTACCTGTGTACTATAAAAATGCGACTCATCAGTCTTTGTTGACACTACAAAAAATCCGTCCACATCTCTTTTTAATTACACAAACTCCAAAGCACACACGAAACACAACATACTCGTACTTCGAAACTAAACAAAGTTTACATTATTTGTGCAAGAAACTCGGAAAAGCGGTCGTGCACAGACGCGCTAAGTAAATTAAGTGCTTGTAAATACAACTTAACGAATTAATGTACTGGAGTGTACCTATTACGTAAGACCACAAGCTTGAGTGCGACCTGACCTGCATGGCTTGTCATTCACTTTAGTCTTTAGTCTTTAATGTTAGCTTCACCCACTACTGACATCAAGTCACGACTTTAGTGTAGTCATTAAAAGCTGACGTCGTTAATAACATCACTAATGAATTCCAGACCGTCCGTCCGTCTGTCATTATTACTGAGCATTTACCAAGTCACAAAAATAAGTTTTTAATCTCGTACATATAAACGCAAAAGCTAAATCCCCTATGGAAATATATCTTCGTTATCTTTTGGATTTAGCACACCTAGACATTACTGCAAATCCAATTAATTTTGGTACTTAACTAATTTGTGAAATATGTATATAAATTGTAGCGACCGTTTATCTGTATTATAAATATTTACAGGAGAAAACGTTGACATTTTAAATTAGCTAACTAGATTCATATTTCATCATTATTATATGTTTATTTATTTATGTAGGTATTTATTGCACACACATTACATTTGTCATTAATTTGCCTAAGTCAAATAAAAAGCCTTTTAATATGTAAGTCAGAAATTTTAGAAATGCTTAAAAACATTACTCGAATTGTTAGCCTATGTAGTCGGCTAGCCAGCCTGTGTGAATGGGCGTGCGTAGTTGCGTACCATGCGTACGTGATTGTGCACTCGCGTGAATAGTTATAATCATACAGAGGTGGAGGTAGGTCACACCGCTGCACCAGCTGACGCGCTCAACCGTGTCGCTGTCTCGACCTGATATTCTCAACCTTCATTTAAGAGACTATTAACCCCATTAGAATAATTCTATCCCAAGTTAGAACACCCATAAAATTTGAATAATTACATCATATATATTGAAAATTGAGGTTATGAAACGACGCCCGACTTAAGCAGGTTAAGCACTTAACCCCTACTTCAGCTCATTACCTTCCCGCTACGCTTGCCCGTACTTTATCCAATTCCCAAATGCAACTTGAAAATTGTTATCAATATAACACGGAAAGTGAAAAGTGGAACCTTTTTGCCGCTACACCAAGTAGCTATCGTAAAGGTGCCAAATTCCCTGTGAAATTGAACTTCTTTGTAAGCAAATAGTGAAAAAAGGAAAACCGACAAAATATAATAATATGGTAATGTGGTTTGTCCGTGCGTAGCTTTGTTCACTGAAACCGAATGATCGCACTGAAATGTTCAGTGAACACATTGAGTCAATGGAACCGACGCCTCTTTGCGTCGAGCTAGATTGCTTCGTTCATCTCAAACTTTATTTAATATGACAGCGCCGATGAATTTACACGAAGAGAATATTATAATCAAATTCTGCATTTTTCTTTATTCAGTTATATGAAGATTGACTTAACATTAATTGGAACCCAGACGACTCCAAGCTTTAAATTAACGAAACAAAATTTAAACAAAATGTCCACAATTTCAGAAAGTTGTAGGACTAGCAATAATAAATTTAAATTAAACGGCTGTGTTAATCGCCTCAAAGTGTAATTTATTCCTTTATCTATTTAATTATAAATCACGGATAACGAACCCCTTTTAGGTTAGCTTAAGTTTATTGTTTGGTACCCAACCCCAAAATGTGAAAGTTTGGATATTTGTGGGTTTCCGTCTCGGCAACGGCTAAACATGTTTAAGTTTAAAAAACATTGCTAAAAGTATTTTCGTGCCTATGTAAATATAAATTTGTTAGGGCAACAATATTGCATTACATTTTAACTTGAATAATACAGTAGCAATTAAGTCATTTAGCACGGTTTTAGTGTTGCAACATAGTAAATTTGTACAACGTCTGCTCCTGAAATAGTGCTACCTAGATTAGTAATGAGGTACATTGTTCCTCCGTCTTGAGAATAGCTCACAGCAGACAGAAATGTTTCTTAGACAAATTCATTTAGCCACGTATCATCTTGACGAAGATACATAGATTTAATTAAAAATATCCTTGATACCTATTAATCTTCTACAAGCAAATAACTATTGTATTTGTAATAATAAAAGTTCAAATTGCATTGGAGAGTTTCAATGATACTTAGCAAATAAGTATCTTTAGCAATATGCTTAGAACAACCTAATTTATTAAAGTACTGCTCATTTCATTGCAAGGACCAGGTAAAAACTTGCCCTTTCTAAAGGTTGACGTCAACTTGTGTAGGTGCTCTATAGTTTCAGAGTAAACACGTATGAAACTAAACGACGGAGAATACAAATACTCTTTAACGTATAAAGCTCAGTCAATTTACTAGAATACACTAGGAGCATGAAAATCTTATTAATTTTTCTCCTATACTAACCTCAAGACTGCCTCATTGGCCAAATGGTCGCAAGTGCGACTTCTGGGTAAAGGATCTCGGTTTCGATTTCCAGGTTGGGCAAATATATTGGGCTGGGTTTTTATAAAAAATCTTAGTAGTATCACGGAGTCTGGATATGTGACCGTTATATGGTAATAGACTCACCCCTACATGGGACTCATAACATAAATAGTGAAAAGTGGGTTTTACAATTACATTGTACAGTGGAATTAAGTGCTGTAATGTGCAGTTGTACCTATCCATTTGGGGATAAAAGGCGTGATGTTATGTTATGTTACTAACCACAAAACAATAAATGTAATTTGGTTTAATACTTATAGAAGAAACTTTTATCATTCATACGAAATGCTCATCACTAAAGTAGTTTGACTTTATGAGTTACACAAGTTTGATGGAACTTTTTGCGAACAATGTACAAGGAATTTAGTAGGTACTTAATTACATCAATGTTAAAGTGGTAATTTAGTGTGGTCATAATTACTCAAAAAGACTAGTATGATATTATCGGTTATTGACATTTTATGTTAGTTACTTTATCCTTTTATTTATAAAACTGTAAATAAGTATTTCATTTCCAACTCTTAACTATTTACAAACACAATCCGAAATATTCGATATACCCAGAACCATCAAACGCAACACTTCGTGGAACGAAAATTGTATGCATAACTTTCAATATTTATTCATAGAGATATCACATTATGTTGAATCAAACAATCACGACAGATCCCTCTCAGGAAGGGATAAGTAATCTATTTGTATCTCTGAAGGGTATCTCACGTTGACCTGAATACCAAATTTAATTCGTAGATTAGATACCTTTTGGAGTGCTTGTGGCTAACCAAAAGTCACAATGTTTGAACTTTTTTGATTAAATTGAACATACATTAAACTACATTAACGAATACAGTTTTATACAAAAGTTTACCTACTCGTACCTATTTTTTGCTGAGGTAAAACAAGTTCGACGTTACATGAACTTAGCACAACGCGCAACGTTTACCTAAAGTGAATAGAAAAAAAAACTTAATTGATCACTGCTTACCTTCACTTGGTCCTGTTCACCAGCGTATTCGATGTTTTGAAATATAGTCCAGGTATAGCGCCTGCGCACCTCCATCCGAGCCAAGTATCTACGGTACCACTGTTGGATCAAGATGGCTGCCTTCATTGCTGAAACAATTTAAGATAATGAGTACTCTGTGTAGGAGGAAAAACGTCCATATTCGATTGCTTTCGACTTTAAAATATCTTCTCAACTTTATCGAATCTAGATAAACTTAAGGATTGAGTGTAATTCGATTCGACCGTCGAAATATCACATTTGAAATCTCGAATCGTCGCTCAATGTGAAAACAAAGCGTTAATGTGATTGGAAAAGCGTCAATTACTTTTCCATGATGACCGTATAAAAACCGAATTTATTTCAGCTAGTCGTTGCAATTTTACGCGCGTGCCAAATGGAGTTTTATACTATCGACGTAAAGTGTAAATTGCAATAAGGGTATTGTGAATAGAATTTAGGTAAACTAAAAAAACATGATGGATGACTTTTTCCAATTACGTAGACGAAAATATAGTAACCAAACTAAAAATAATAAAAGAAACCATTCAAATAAGGAGTCCCACAAATGTTTGAAGGGTGAATAAGGAAAACTATTTATGAGCAAACAAAAATAGGTAAGTAAATGTTAATTTACGAACGATGAGTGGTTGTTTACACACATGTTCTACATACAAAAGAAACTCTTGATTTCTCGGAACAGAATATGTCAGAAAATGGATCGACAAAAAATTGCAATACAACAAAACATTTCTGTTGGTTTATTATTGGGGAAACCTGCGTAAATTGATTATTTCCGATGTATGGGAACGATAACAGCTGATATTATTCATGTTTTTGTGTTGCTAAATTACTGTCAGCAGGCAAACTTTCGCAATATTGGTAATTGAGGCCTACGAGACAAATATTTAAAGACCAAGAGGAATATTATTCGCAAAAATGTTTTAATAACGGTAACATTGCATAATTGTTAAGTATACATTGTTACCCCTACGTTTGGATTACAAACCACAGTTGTAGCTTTACTATCAAGCAACAAACACAAACAGCCAAACCTCCTTAATTCTATGTTTTCCTGGTACTCTTGTGACGTGCTATACGCTACAGACTATGTTTTTTTATAATAACTATTGTGAGACATACTAAATTAACTAAAAATCGCGGCAATGTCGCACAGCCTACTGTAGGCAATCCGTAGGCTGCGCGACATCGCCGCGACCGCGCACACTGCTCATGAGGAAGAAGCCCTCTGTGGTTCGAAACTAGTAGAGCTTTTCTCAGTATATTTAAATGAGTAACCCACGATTTTTAATTACGCTACAGACTATTCAGTATTCGGTAATTGAATAACAAGGCAAGCAATTTCTAACATGTCTTAACTCTTGAGAAGATGCAAGTTGCGCTTGTTCCAAATAAATTATGAGCAATGCGTAACAAAACATAATTAAGTCTATCTAGTGTTTGTAAACTTAGTCCTCAAGTTTAGATACCCTAAACAAGATCTAACTACATATTATGTGAGCTGTTAAGTTCTCTGTACGTTTGTACTACGATTTGATGTACTTTTTATAGTCAACCTCAGTTGATTACTGAAGTTCATTGATTAATTTTCACTAATTGCTAATCGACCTAAATAAAACTACACAGTTTGTTTTTATTACTTTTTTTCATTGGAAAATTGGGTCATTATACTACGATCTGATGGTTTGTATATACTACTGCTGTTATTGATTTTTCCATTTGAATGTTTTCATTGAACCTGTGTATTTTAGAACATGCAACACAGATTTAAGATATTATCAATGTGAACACATAGTTGATAAAAGAAATATTATTCAGTTTTAGAATATGAAATTATGTGCCCATTCATTTGGGATACGTTATTAGATAGATACCTATGTCTTAATTAATAAACAAATCATTTGAATCCCTAATAACGAACACGTACAAGGCAATAATTTACTTAAACGAAGCTCTCATCACAAACTCAAGTGGCGTCAAGTCGGCTTAATAATAATCAGAGCGCAACACAAACATGTGTGTTTATTTAGAGACACCCTGTACATGTTGCTGAGGCATAGCCTCCAAGCCTCCGCTGCGGTGTCAACCGTCATCTTGCCGAACATAGCCCCATATATACGAAATTCTGAATTGCAAATTCACAAACCCAATTTCGATCGTATTTTTATCGACGGTCGTATTCAAGGACAGGGCTTATTACACCCCCAATATTATGTAGAACATCATAGTAAATAAGTTATATCCAAGTTGTAACAAGTGAGTACGGTCACCCGCACCTACATGCGAGAATAGAATCACGAAAATAACTCTTACTGCTATGGAATAAAATCCTTGAATTAGCTTCAGAAAAGTTTTATCTAGAATCCTTTTACAGGGATACATCAAAAACGTGTACGCTCGCGAACATTTATACAATAATCGTAAGATATTAGGCGAGCCCGCATGAAGTTATCTCACGATAAGTGCCGTTGTAGCAGAGTGCTACATTACTCCGTACAATACTAATGTTCGTGTAGGGAGGCCAGCGAACCGTTTTTATCTCTCTATACTACACAAGGGACCAAGAAATGAAAGAATAGATAACAGTTAACCGAACTTGGGGTGAAGGTAAAGAATACAACCAGAGATATACTGTTTTATTCTGATACTATCATTCTGCCCCCTTCATTTGCAGTGATAATATTAATCTAAGTTGTAAAGCCTTTGTATGTTTCTATTGAGCTAATCTAAACTGGTTCAATTCACTCTTTGTGTAGAAAATATTTATCTTGGACCTATTTATCCGCTGGTATGATGAACTCCATAATTTGAATACAGATAAATTATCTCACTCAACCTAAAGTGCTTTAATTTAATTCAGTAACTAATCCCTTTGAAGTGCAGCCCAGAATGCAGTAGTTCTGAGAACATTTTAATAGGTCAGACTAGGTATTGATTAAACGAAAATAAATCCGGAGCTTGACCAGAAACGTAGTATTTTAGACATTTGTTCGTCTTACGTTTTGTACTTCTATACATATATTTTTACGTATTATTTATCACATAGCGGACTGTCCTTTAATGTCTTTATTTCCATTAGTCACCATTCTCATGAAATCATTTAACAATGCATTATTGTTTGTCTGCCACACAATTACTATCAGACTCATGAAGGTCATTGAACACTGAAGCTTTAGTCAGTGTCTGCAATAAATAAATCGTATTTAAAAACTGAAAGTAATTTAAACAACTGCCAATCATATTGACAAACGAGTAAAAATATAACACAAAAAAGATTTGCATTTTGTCTGCGTGAATAGCATTTTCTGCGGTGAGCTTGCTCTTAGTCTAGAATTGTAGACTTAGCTCAAAAAATAGTCTAGACATTACATTACTACACAAATACAAGTCTGCGTTCTGACAATTCATCAATGAAAGTGAAATATTAATGATTTTTTTTTTGTTAACCGTCTTTGCTAAGTCACTGACTTATTCATCTGAAGGTCATTTGAACTATTTCAGGAGTTAGTACAAGGAGCTCGGTAAAAAGCTGTAACTAATCATCTCTGTCTATTTGTGCCCTTAACTATACAAAAGATAAGGGATAGCCCTTACCTACAGAAGAAATAGTCGACCTTCTCGTAACAGATGTTTAAGACAGGTCAAAATAAACTTACGAAATGGGACACAATCCAATGTTGAACGACTGTATTTATAAATGCATCATGATACTGGAGAGAATACTAGTTAGTACGAATATTTTCACTACTATCACTAGTGCAAGAAAAAGTACTAAATGGTTACTCGGCGATGGTACGCACTTGAAAAATACTTGAGCCTCGATAGTTCATAAAGATAAAATTATAGCGGTAATATAATAATTTACGGAAATGAAGTCTTCATTAAGTACGTGCTATTTACTGTGTTTACAGGACCTAGGACCCATTTTCGCTCACTATGTCTCATATATCTCCATATACGACGGTAGCACATAGATATCCCAGTGTACCTATATAAATCTCCCAAGGTCACTTGACCTTTTAAGTATTTCACTTGAATTATGTACTTAAATCAAGGAACGAAGCGAAATACTGTATCATTTTATAATGACACATGACAATGATAGTAAGCACCAGTACGAGTCGTGCTTTTTACAAATCGTTTGCTGTACTGTACAAACAGTAGTACAATTTTCACATACATATAAGTACTGTAATCTTCACACATAATAAATTGATGAAGTACATCCAATATACCTACACGTGGTTCTCAAGTCTCAACAAAATCGTTAAATACCATGTTAAGATCTAATATCCAAAGTTAATTAAGAAGACCCGTTACCTAATAATAACTAAGTTTATGTGAAGGATGTGGAATTTGATACTAGAGTAAACAATTTGACCTCTAACGACGACAAGGCTGCGACATTACTAGTTTCGGGGAAAATATCGTAAAAATATACAAAAATTTTTGCTTTAATGGTAATATGGGCTAATGGGCTTATGATGAGTTGTTATATTCTAAGGAATGGAGAAGGGGAGAGGAAGAAAATAATAGAGAAAAGGGGAATAGACTCGATCTTTGTTATATAGAACTAAACAAACACACATGTAATACACGTTTGAAGAAAAATAAGGCGTGATGTTTTTAGAGAGCTCCTTAGAAAATACACTGCTTTTGATCATGATGTGTTCTAAGGGAAAACTGTCGAACTATTGAACTGAACTACTCGTCGATAAAGCAAAAGGGTTTAGCAAAAGGATAAATGCAAACACAAACTCAAAGTAAAAGGATTTGAACCGTCGGAAGCATTCTTTCTGTGAGTCAATCAGCACCCGGATACATATAGTTTTATTTTGAATCCAAGTTTATTTTCTTGGTTAGACGTTAGTAAATGAAGGACAATTTGGAACGAATTGTGAACTTGAGACTTCTCATAAATAGTAGGTTGATTAAAATACTGTGATTGTAATTTGATTGTTATATTAGTTACGTAATAAAGATTTTTAAATATAAATATTTCAATTTATGTTGAAATACCACATTAACATAAATAACATAACGTGGTACTTCTATAAGGTACATATAGGTAAATACAAATGTGTATACGGTCTATAATTATTTGACTGTTACTTATATACAAATGTTGATTGTTTGGAAATTTAATTGTTAAAATACCACTTTTTCATAAATAGGAGGTTAATTAAAATACTGTGATTGTGATTTGATTGTGATATTAGTCACGTAATAAAGGTTTTTTCTAAATAAGTAGTTCTAATTATGTTGAAGTATCTCAGATAAATATTACATGTGTAATACATATATATATCTTAACGTGGTACTTCTATAAGATAAATACAAATGTGTATATTGATAGGTGTAACTAATAGTACTGTGATTTGGATTTGATTGTGATACTAAATAATAAAGATTTTCCTCAATTGCAATAGATCTTTTAATTATTAAAATTAAAAACATGCATCGCGGATGCATACCTAGAACTGGAAGTATTTAATATCTTTATGTTATTAGAAAAAACTATTATTTCAATTTATTGGAAGATATAGTACAATATCTTTTGTCAACTGTACTTTGAATTTGCCAGGAATGTGGGACGAGTGGTGACTTTAAAACTCAAGTGGGACGAACGAGGAATTCTTTGGAATGTGGGACAAGATAGTGGGACGACAGAGGCACAAATCACATTAAAGGTTATAATTACATTATAAGTCAAACATATCCAATCTATATAAAAATGAATCCCGTTTTCCTTTAGTCACGGCATCACGCTTGAATGGCTGAACCGATTTCACAAATTTTTTTTTTGTTGTATTTGTTATTATTAGGAGAAGTTTCTTAAGATAGAAAACATCCTGAAAATCCTACGGGAAAGGGCGAAAACGGGATTGCACGTACAAAGTCGCGGGTAGAAGCCAGTAGTAAATAAATGTGATAACACACTACACTTTTACAATAAATTGGTCCCCAGCCTGTCAATGAACATTAAAGTTAAAAGCTTAACATGTTCCAGATAAGATAATTACTGAACTATGTTATTAACGTAAAGTATTTTTCTAAAGTAAAATCACGGCCTTCGATGCCTACGATAGGCGATACTATCAGGTGACAGGACAGGCATAATCGGTAAAATGTAGGTCATTGTATAACATGTATGTAAAGCTAGCCATGTCCATATCATTAGCTAACCAGAATTACATGCACCGGAAAATTATAGCTTATTGCTTTGCTTTGAATAACGTGTTTTTGGTATTTACATACAGTTTATACAGTACATGGTTGATAAGGAGTTTTTTTTAAGAGGGGACAATCATCGAATGACTGCTCCCACCTGGGTGAGGCGGGAGGGGGAGTGTCAGACTCTTACTGACTAAAAACCACCCCGTTCTTCTCCTGCACTTCAAACCGGAGCCCTGGTAACCCGTTAGGTTCTCCGCGACATGGTTGATAAGGAGTATTAAATTGATTTTAATTGGAATGTTTACAAAAGTATTGTTTATCTGGCTTTGACAGTTATTTTAGTAAGACTACATTCATATTATTTTCAAATCTAAAGTTAAGCAATGGCATGAACAGATTCCAAAACGTTGTGAAGTTAAAAGCGAGAAGTAAGAATTTAGAAATAAAGCCCCCAAAATAATGTATACTCGACATAAGTATCGACCAAGACTTTGGATTCAGCCATCAAATTAACGACCACTAATGAGCTTGCCTATTATAATATACACCTGCGATACCTGTCGTAACGGATAAAACAGATGTAAATAAAATACACTCCACTACCCCAACTGAGAAGAAATTCCTCAATATCAATCATAATTTCCTTTTATGACAACACAACCAGAAATTCTCTACACGTAACGCACAATTTCTTTGTATATTCTCTAACAAAACACAATACTAACCTACTTATGATTTTTCCCAACCCACAGAGCCGTAAAGCAATATTGCAGAATGTTGCCCCACTCATGGTAACCGGGATACAATTTACCATTTGTCATGTTCAACCCTTTCAACGCTATGCTATGGTATGTTTGTAAAAGCAATACGCCATAATCAATGTAGTTATAGGGTTCATTATGAGCTTGCGATACTGCGCCAGTCTCGGCGTAATCTTGGAAAATATTAAAGAGAGACGAAGGACTAAGTTACCGTCATTTCACGTTGTACATACCTCAAAGAGTATCCATACAGTAAGGCGAAGTTTTTACTCGTAACATGATCTACTTTAAAAATAAATATTTCTTTGAAATTTTGTTGTGAAGTTAAAAAAAATAGCTACGTAAAGGTTCCGAAGTAAATCCTAAATCTGGTGCACGTATTTTTCAAGTTAAAGTTTTTAGATGACGATGTTTGCTAATCAATTAATCATGCTGTTGCTAAATATGTGAATAAACATACATAACATGTATGTCAAATATCGACATACGTCAGTCATAACTAGTATCGACACTATTATACATACACGTAAGTAAAATACCATAGTGTACTACGATCACACGAGAAAATAAAGAAAAAATACCTCTTACAAAAAATATGAGAAGCAGTTCATGCATCATTGGGCCCTTCTGAAGTAACGACACAAAGTAAAAGAATATGAACTTATACGGGCTGGTTCGATATGTAAGTGAATTATTTTTATTCGTGTCTTGAGAAAATACGATTCAAACAAAGAAAGTCTTAAAATAGTAAAATGGAGGCAAAAGCGTTAACGAGACCGCAGAGCAGTGCCCTACAAGGCCCAATAACCTGTTCCCCTATGTTTGACATCGATGTAGACAACCTATAAATATAGAAGGCGGGTTATACACACAACTGAATGAAACCTTAACTGTCGTCTGAGCCCTTTGCTTGCCGTTTATTAATAGGTAAGACTGAGATCCAATTTACGTTAGCCAACCTTGAGAATATACGCTTGTGTTGTGAATAAATCTCGTAAACAAACACGTAAATTGGTGTCTATTGTTATGTATTTCTTCCAGGCTTCCTCTACAATTATCCATACTTGGAATAAATCGAAAACGATACTGTAATGTAGATCGGTGACTTAAAATTGTGCAGTGTAGAGTTTTGTGGCTACATTCTATTGTATTGATTTCGTCTTTGATATATTTTATACACACTCAAATATTTCATGGCTCGTAAAAACATACCAAAGGAAAAGTTTTAAAAAACATCAGGCCCTTATTCTGTTCCGAGATCTTACTTATTCAATGACCGTAAAGCTGAACGTGCGGGTGAAAAGGGATCTAAGCGAAAATAGCCTTATTTTCCACTCTTTACCAAGTCGAGATGTGAATACGTTAGTCGCACAAAGATTTAAAAATGAATAATGTAAAACAATATGTGATTCTCAAAATTCATATGAAATGGCTATTGTTGGGAGGCGCCATTTTTCAGTTTTACTGTCATCCAAGTATGTCCCCGAACTTTCTATAATTTATTATTTGCACACAAGGTTGTACTTGAGAACTTTACTGCTCAAGGCGAGATTTATAAATTATGTATCCACTTACTTCTCTCCGCCTTAGTCATGCTGACGTCATCTCTCCTCCAAAATCTAAGGAACGGGGCGAGGGCTTTGATGGTGCATTCCCCATTCAGCACTCTCTTGCCAAGCCGCTTGGGAACCTCTTGTTCTATTTCTGAACTTCGGCATGACGAGGAGTCGTCTCCCTGGGAGCGAGGCCGGCGCCCCCCGCGGAAGCTGACGCAGCCACATCCCTCAGCGAGTGAAAACATAGTGGGACTTTTGTCCTTCCTATAATTTTTCTTATCTTTCCGCTGGCGCGTACATCTTGGTGCTGTCTGCCGCGACTTAGGAATGGTTACTGGTGTCTTCTTTACAAACAGCAGTGACACGCGTTACCATGGCCCAGTCTTCACGACTGGTGAGATCTGTAACAAAAGCAGTCCCTCATTAATTTTCCCGTGTTAAAAGTGGATACAAAATGTAACTTAGCTAATGGAATGAAAAGACAAGTTAACCCTTAAAATAATGATCATACTTAATTAGCACTCTGACGAATTAATGTGAACCATTTTGTTCTGTTTTATGGACAACCGCCGTACAAGGTCGTAATTATTTATGTAAACGCTGTAATTAAACACCTATGTTAATAAAATATAAGTAATTAAGGCCCGACGCGTGGCTCGTAACGAATTATCCTTTTAAAAGCTCACTTAAACTTTCTACATTCGCACTTTGAAACGAAAGAGAAGTTAGTTTAGGATTCTACGTTATGCGAAGGGTTCTTTGTCTCGAAATAAAAAAGCGTGCTTATATTTATTTCTTCCTTTTCACTGTTTAGAACAAAAATAGAAAATGTTTAATTAGGTATTTAAATTCCTATTCACAGCACGTAGGTGTTATAAATTGAAGTTAGGATCGCTGCCCCGGGCCACAGCGTGGGAGAAATCAAAATATAAATTCTTTACAGTATCCTCAATTGTACGTCAAGTTGCGTCTGAGTGACATTTAAAATTGAATTATGATTTGTGAATACAATTAAACACTTTCAACCCTTGTATTAAATAAAACCTACCAATTGGGCATTCTATTTTCGTTTATCTATGTGTTTAAAATTCTAAGTCAAGGAAAGACAAAACATCTTGAAAATTTATTGACGCCCCTAAGTCTTGAATCCATTGAGTTTATTATAAATGAAGGAAGGAACTTTAGAATGGCATAGGTCAGTCAGAAACACAATGGGTGACACTTGATTAATGGTCGGCAGAATACCATCGTTTGAACCATAGCATTGTGTATCTATTATATATCATTCTATAGTCATTATTTAGGTACCAGTGACCCGGAACGAAAAACTGACTTATTCATTCAAGAATTTGTCTACAAATTGTAGAATGGATTGAGATGGAGTAGAATGCTACCATCGTAAGAGATCGCTTTTTAGTGAAAATACTGTATTGCACTCATATTTAAACCTTTACATCGTTTTTATTTTTTTCTTTTACATTTACACAATAAACAGCTTTGTATTGTTTCGTATTATATTTGCAGAGATACAATACACACTTTGTAATATTTGTAAAGCTTATGCTCATATGTGTTGTCTTTGTTCTGGGTGTGACTCTCAAAGTAAAGTGACCCTTGGGAATTTGTGGACCTTTCTCAACATCGCAAGACTCCTTGGCAAAGCTCAAAGGATACTTCAAATCGATTGATCTCGAATGATAACAATCATCTATGACACTCTTTACGTCGAATGTCCAAATATTCGTAAAAGATGATTTGATATTTTTAATATATCTCGTAGTAAATGAAATCTCAACTGAAATAAGAATTCATAATATTGTTTTGTTGTTTGTAGCTTAGAAAGGATAATAGAGAGGGATACTTTAAAAAAAAACTTTGCCCCACATTTTTCTTTTCTCATGTGTCATGGGTTCGTTTACAAACATACAAGTTCACATACACGTGACACCCAGACCTTTAACAACAATCTGTGGATCGCACAAATAGTTGTTCTGTGCGGGAATCGAACCCGCGACACATTGCAGCAATCAGTTGCCAGCACCGCGCCAACCGTGCAGTCATTAATGAACTTTTGAACTTATCTGATCCAAAACTAACTCTCAAATCGAATCAGAAAGTACAGAATCACAATTCTATATTCTGGATATGCCAAGCAAACTCACGTAATTCTATAACCAAGTTTAGTCAGTAACAGGAAATGAGAGGAACATAGTGTATTGGACAAACCAAAATAACCTTTAACCTATCCAGCACTTGTTTATTTATTTAGGATATCTTGGGACAGAAGACAACTCACACGAAAATCGATTAGGGTATCTATTTCGAATTCCCTAAAGTGCATTTTCCCTTCACCTGTTATCCAACTAAAGGTCATTACAGAAATAAATTCGGAAACATAACAATATTATAAATATCTGGTGCTTAAAGTCGTAACTGACGATAACTTAACGTAAACTGTACTTCACGAGGTTAATTTACGGAGTGTTTTTTTTTTATTGTTAGGGGGAAAATCATCGAATGACTTCTTGATCGATCGATCAAGTTTACGGATAGGTGTTCATTATTAATAACTTCTATGCATTGCGAAGAACAAGGAAGCTAAAAAACGTAGGTATCTATCTACCAACAGTAAAGTGTATTATGAAAAAATCTTATTACTTTTTCAATAAAAACTATTTTCGTGTATCAATGTTCATTTACCGTTGACAGCATTCCCATGATTACATATAGGAAATAGCAACAGTCACTGTGTAATTAATTAAAGAAAATTCGACCTTACAATACAGGTAGACCGCAATCATGATTGCGTTGCGGTTAATGTAATTACCGCATATGTAATAATTCATACAAGCCCCTTTGTTGCGAACCTCAATTGTTGTTTTGTGGCCAATTTTCATTTTCATGAAGTGATAACAATCTTCGTTGTATTATAGTGTTTTAATTAACCACTTATTTTTATTATAACTTTCGTGAGACATACTAAATAAATTGTTATGTTTTCGGCTTACTCCCGTAATTATTTGACGAGGAACTCGATTAGTTTCAAGAGACGCGGCGACAGTCGCCGCATCGCAGGTCCCGAAAAGTTGCTCATAAATATGAGCCTCCAGCATGGCTTGAAACTAGACGAGTTCCTCGTCAAATAATTACGTGAGTAAGCCGAAAACATAATAATTCACTTATTTTTACTTATAAGGTGTTAAAATGAAGACAGAACTAATATAGTACATTACCTAGTAAATACAATACAAAAAAAACAAGAAAATTGTTCTCTATTCTGAAATAAAGATATTCAATAAATAAGCCCACAGCCACTAATGAAACGAGTTAGTCACTGTCCATTTTCACCCATCATATAAAATTGATTACCTCATCTCTATTCCATGTGGCGATTTTAATCAAATAATGGCTACTTTATAGCTTTAACGTCAACGTAGCTCATAAAATAGCCAAAAATAGGGCAATCACAAAAAAGGTTGCTCTTCGTATTGGCTTTATCTGAGACTGCCGGTTTGAATGTCGGTCATGAGCCCGATTTACTTTTATTTCCCTCGAGTTTTATCTTATACGAATATGTGGTGTTTTACCGGAACACATACATTTTCGTCCTTTTGTTACATTTCACTAATATTCGAACAATATGTACAGCGAAATACGAAGCAAATGGTAATACAAATGTTTCTATATTTTCAGAAAAATAAATATTACATTTTTTATCAAATATACCTACTGGAAATGTATCGTAACAAAAAAACATACGGGTCGAATTGAGAACCTCCTCCTTTTTTTGAAGTCGGTTGAAAAGACGAAACACAGTTTTATTGAAACAAGAAAAGCAATGCAGCCGTGGTTTACTTTGAACAATATAGGGCGGGCTAAACGAAAATAGGCTTTACTATTACATTGCACCAAATTGCAATAGTGCTACGCGGTTGGCGTTGCAGCGAGTGCCCTCAATTTCAATGCCTATATTCAACTGGCTTTATGCTGGCATACCGTATTCATAATACAATACATTGAGCCTTCTAACTATAATAACGCTTTTAATAACACATATCACTTATTATCTAATGGAGTTGACACATTTATCGCCTTGTTACAATAATCCCATGTGATAGGGCAAAAACCTATCGACAAACTTCAGGCACTAATCCAAACATCGTGCAACAGAAAATTGTGGGATCGAAACCCCCAAGATAACTTTGTTCGTCCCGGGAATCGGTCCCTTGGACGAATCGAACCATCGAATGGTTACGTACACTTGCGGTTACGATTCCTAAACTAACAAAGTTTCTGAGCTTTTAATCATTTTTGCTCATACATATAGAATTATAAGTAACAAAAATATACTTCTTCTTTTTTTACGACGTCATCATATAAAATAAAATGTCAAGATCAAGGTCACCTATCATCCTAAGCCGTATAGGTTCTCTTTGTTTGATCCCAATAAATCTGATTCACACAAAAAATATAAGAAACATATCAGTACCTTGTTACAAATCGCTTAAACATTGATCAATGTGGAAAAACCTTGTGAATTTACACTTAATAGGGTATCGTACACATCGCGTCAACAAATTAAATTGATATGGGTCAACCCCCGCCGCAATCCCGGGATCTTCGTTGGTTATCCCGAAATGAATATAAATGGGGATAAAATAAACATAAATGCAAGTGCTCATATTATTTACGAAGATATTATTAAGCGTCTTTTAGATTATTTCAACACTTCAATCGTAAAGTCGAATTGGTTAGCTGACTCAAGTGTTGAAATAATATAAAGTTATACTTATTTTATTTCGAGGCGTTATAAGTACAGAGCTTTATAGTGTACTTGTAGCGTCATGAAAAATTATTACAGAATCACCCGCTTTAATATTATCCCTATACGGGGACAGGGCACGTCTCCAAACGCCGTGTAACAAGCAAAAAATAAATAAAGAAAATATAAAAGGTGAATATTATCTAGTTTCTTTATACCAAAGCTTTTCACCTATTATAAAGTCACGAATAAATAAATCATAATATGAATGCTTATTAATATCCATTTGCTTGTTAGAACTCTGAGACAAAAAATGTAATGGCACCTTATTTAATCCAGCATCTGAGCAATAATAGAGTCCATATGTCATCAGTCTGGCTCATCCACAGGGACCTTTGCGAAGATAATTTAGTCAGTGTTCTCATTAAACCGTCTCACGCACCGAAAAGCAAATAGAGCCCTTGTTCACAACGTAAAACGTAG